TATTGATACGCATGGGTGACTGTCCTTAATTTGCATTTAGCTTAATTCTTAATCTTGTTTCATGAATTTTCTTGGTTTGATTTTCAAAACCTTTAATTAATTTCATGACTACTTTCATTGAGGGTTTTTGTACATGGAACTGGCCCGTCTGTTTCTTAACCTCAAGATGCCACAGCCCATGAAAGCAAATACAGATTTTGCTACCTAATAAATGAATTTCCTACTAAAAGCCATAAGCTTCTTGCTGGTTGGACTTCTGTCCATAATATCATGTTTTAACTTCTATGCCCCAAGAAAATTGAACGAGTACTATTTGAAATTCATACACGGTTCTGCTTCTACTCATTCTTGTCTCAGTAGGTCGAGTTGCACTAGCATTTCTACTTGCCAAATGAGGAATTTGCATAATGCAATCTGTCATTTCGCGTGTTCATTTGAAGAGATCATGTTATCGTGTTTCTATAACGATTCCTGTGTCCTGTTTGCAATGTACGCAACATGATTAGGATTTTCTGTATGGGGAAGTGTGAAACATAACACAAGCATGTAACATCATATGAAGATGAATCAGTTGACTATCTGTCCATTTCAAATACTAGCAGATTTGTCATATCTCAGCATTATGCCGGAACAACAGCCTTTATTTCTTCTGCAATTTATCCCTAGAAATAATTTTGTTAGGAGGAAACTGCCTGTTTGTCACGTTTTCTGGAAATGGTTTATGACACTTTCTTGCAATGTTTGACTTTCAAGTTTTTTGTCTGTAGTTTTAGATAAATTATGAAGTTCTCTTGGCTGTAGCGAACTCAACGACACTGTAGTTGAAGCTCAGATCAGGACCAGACAGATACCACCTTTACTTCCAATTAATGAGGCAGCGAACAGTTATTCGCGATCACATAATCGATTGGTTATTCTGGTATATTCCCTGTAAGATCAAAACTATATTAGTGGCCAATATGCAATAACTGTTTGCTGCATAATTGCTTATTTCACAGGGTTTCAATGCTACCTTAACTGAAGCAGTTGATGCCCTCGGAAGAAGATGTGGCCAAATTAGAGACATGGATCTTAAAGTACATCCAGATGTGAGAGAGCCCTTGAAGAAGCTTTGTGATGACCGGAATACGACAGTGGTTGTCCTTAGTGGGAGTGACAGAAGTGTTCTAGATGAGGTACACTTGTTCTTCTGCATTAATAATGCCTTCTACCCCTTCTGCATCCTTGTTTTGGCCTTGAATATGTTTTATTACAGAATTTTGGTCAGTACAACATGTGGCTGGCAGCAGAAAACGGTATGTTCTTACGTCCTACAAAGGGAGAATGGATGACGACTATGCCCGAAAATTTACATATGGACTGGGTTGAGAGTGTTAAGGTCTGAAGAATAATACTACATTATTTAGTTACTCTTCTTACTTCCTTTTGGTTTCTTATATCTGTTAATGAATGGTAGCATGTTTTCGAGTATTTTACCGAAAGAACTCCTAGATCCCATTTCGAGCTCCGTGAAACTTCACTGGTGTGGAATTACAAATATGCAGGTATCTAGCATTTACCACGGACAATCTAATCAGTTTCTTCCTCTAAAATCATTTTAGTAATTGACTTGTACTGAACTAGATGTTGAGTTTGGAAGACTTCAAGCGAGGGACTTGTTGCAGCATCTATGGACTGGTCCAATCTCAAATGCATCAGTTGATGTTGTCCAAGGCAGTCGATCAGTCGAGGTTCGAGCAGTTGGTGTTACAAAGGTGTGTGACATTGATCTTGAAATATGAATTGCAAAAATGAATGACAGATGATATGGAATGATACGATTATTGAACAGGGTTCTGCCATTGATCGAATATTGGGAGAAATAGTTCGTGACAAAGGCATCAACAAGCCTATTGACTATGTTCTCTGTGTTGGGCACTTCCTAGCCAAGGTCATTCCATTCAAATATTTGATGATTCATGACTCAAGTAAACGATGAAAATGTCTATAAATCCTTGTGTGTTGTGTGTATGTTTCAGGATGAAGATGTGTATACATTTTTCGAGCCCGACCTTCCTTCTGAAGTGCCACAAACAGTCCCGAATCCTTTACCTCCGCCGAAGATGCCAAACAATGGAGCCCCACCGCCGAAGTCGGCACGCCTGAAGAAACAACGCTCCCTTTCCATTATAGAAAGAAGAGCAAACAGCCATGGGAGTGCAGTGTTTTGGAGGCCTGTAGTGCAGGATCGATTGTCACTGCATGAGGGTTCATCTGTTCTTGATCTCAAGGGTGACAATTACTTCTCGTGTGCTGTGGGGCGGAAGCGATCGAACGCAAGATATCTTCTTGTTTCGTCGAATGACGTTGTCAAACTTGTGAAGGAGTTGTCGGAATGTTTGGAGTCAAGTGTGAGTTGAATGGTCATTCACAGTGTATTTTAGTGAATAGCAGCCAGTTAATAAGTTGTGACATCTTTGTTTCCTTTCCTTTGGTTTTTTACAGATTTCAGAACCTTCAACTACAAGTTCTCTCTCTCACACACTATATATTATATATATATACATGTATATGTATATGTGTGTATATATGTGTATATGTATATATATAATATTTCGTGGAAAAAAAAAATTGAAATAGGAGCTGAACCTTATTGCAAAATTAACACTTAAAAGAACAACTCATCTACTTGTCACACTTAGTGAATTATGCGTGAACTTGTATTTCTAATTTGGGAATACCATTTTCGTCCAAATATTATTATTTTTATTTCATTTTAATCCTTTTATTTAAAAGTAACTTATTAAATATTATAATTTTTCTAAAAAAAAATAAGTCTATATTTACATTCTTTTTATAATTTTTTAAATTGTTTTACACTCTTCTCCTAATTATTTTTTAAAATTTATTCATATTACATTTTTAAATGGTTAAAATAGAATGATATTCAAGCTTCTAGCATTAATAATAATAATAATAAATAAAAAGATAAAATACACCATTTTTTTAAATGGACACTTTTGACCTTAAGATTTAAGTGTATTTCCAAAATTAAAATTTAATTTTTAATTGGGCTTTAAAGAATGGAATTAATTTCTAAATAGTCTAATTTCAGAGTAATTTAAACTTTTTGAACTAAAAAGAAAAATCAATTTATGAAAATAATAATAATAAAATGACGTCATTAATCCCTTTTATTAAAAAAAATGAAAAATAAATTAAAAGTGTATTAAGTACGACTCGGAGCCGAGCTGAGTCGCTTCCGATTCCTTCTATAAATACGGAGTTCCTCCATTTGCGGCTTTTTCTGTTTATACTGTTCCATTTCTCTTCGCATAAATCCCAAATTATGGCCGAAGAATTTCAGGAATCCGAAGTAATTTTCTCCGATCGCGACCGCTGCCGTTACCTCCACCGCGAAGACGGCGGCGGATTCGGCGGTGAGGATCACTTAAACTTCAACTGCCGCCGCGGAATGGCTGCGGCGCCGCGAAGTTGTAAGTATCATAACCGGACGGTGCGCGAGGGCGGATGGCAATCGAACAAGGAAATGGCGAGCTCACTTCCGGTAGGAATTCCGGATATAATCGGCCGGAGGATGGCGGAGGAAGACGATGAGATGGATGGAGAGGAAATGGTTCCGCCGCACGTGGTGGCGGAGAGGCGAGTGGCTAGAAAAATGGCGTTCTCTGTTTGTACTGGTAATGGAAGAACATTGAAGGGACGAGACTTGAGCCGAGTACGGAATTCAATACTTCGGATGACCGGATTCTTAGAAACGTGATCGGAATCGGAACTACGGCGATCGAATTTCCTATATCTTTCTCGATACGCAAGTTTGGTTTTGTGTGGAAAAAGAAAATTGGAACCAGAAAATCAAATCGTGATGAACACGAAAAGGCTTCTCCGCTCTGCTTCCGTTCAATTTTTTGTTATAATTTTGAGGATTTATTTTTGGTGGAAACAATCGATTTCATCAAATAATCAATTTTGAATTTGAATTTTCAAATTAGAAAAACAGCAAAAAAAAAAAAAAAAGTTCGTCAAATTTTGTGGGAAAACCTTGGTTTCATAAAATGAAGCATTAGTTCTATCAATTTCTTTTTTTGTCCTCTAAGTTTGTGGAAAATATATTTAATTATTATTATTATTATTTTTTTATTAAAAAAATATTATATTAAATAAGTCCATTTGAATATGATATAAAATATTAAATTGAATATATAAATATTAAAGTTTCAACTAAAAACTTTTTTTTTCTTTTTTGTGGTTTGACAAATTTGCGTTTATAATTTAGCGATTAAGACTTTTATTTTATATTTTTACTTTATTATGTTCATATTTATTAAATTTTTATCTAATAAATTTTTTAGCTTTAAAAATATGGAATATATTTTAAAATTTTCAATGGGTCAAATAAATATCTAATTAACAAAATTAAATTTGATGTTAAATATAAATTTTTATTTTTAGCTTAAGATATCTTTCAAACTTTTAATTTTTTTTAATAGTTTCAAAATATTTTAGTTATTAATAGAGTGAATAAATATAATTTTTTTAAATAAATAAAAAAAAAAGTTACAACTTTTTTGTTATTACTCTCCTAATAAAAGAAAACCTAATAAATTAACTTTTTAAATTTATATTTATATTTATTATAACCCATATTTAAAAGTTAAAAAAATTAGAAACATACATCAAAACAGGTCAATCACAATCTATTCAGAAACATATTACAAAACAAGTCGATCACAATCTATTCAGAAACATAATATCACTCCAAGTCGAACAACATATCTCACTTAATATCATTCTAAGTCAAACATATCTCACTCATTGTTAAAATAAACGTCGGTTCTAAAGTTTTACGTAAAAACATTAAGTTTAATATAAAACATGCACTTACAACTTAACTAATCCGAGTATAGCTCGGCTATCTAAAGTATATATCTATGACTAAGAAGCCCGAGCTTTCAATCCCCCCTATTCCCACAATTCTAACCCACTCGACCAGTACGACCTCAAAATGATCGTTCCATTGATTTTTGTAATCTAACATATGTGAATGTAACAAGGTTTCAAACTATTTGTTTTTCTGTTTTTAGAAGCATTATCAAACAAACATACAGAACAATTCTACACTTTCCTTATATCACCTCAGTTATGTACATGTGATTAATGGAACATCTAAATCCAGAAAAGGAAGGATTTGAAGCATATATTCCTATGACTCATATTTGAAGAATGTGATTGAGTAGGAAGCATTTAGACTCACAGATGAGGCTTGAAGCTGGGAAGAGCAGCGCGTTTGAACGTAGCTGAAACGCCTCGAGCTGTTGAAGATGAACCAAATTATGAACTTGTTGCCTCTAAAAATCAGATCAAACACATTCAAAAGACTAATATGTTTGTACTCACAGTTGAAATAAAATAGAGTGGATATCTACAACAAAACTCCCATGTCTTCTTGGGCAATCGAAACGATCTGCTGCTTAAATACCGATCAACGTCGTCCTTTTCGGAATTTTGAGGGAGCTTTGTTCTTATTTGGTACATATGCAAATTGACTCAAGTCCATTGCAGTAGCAGACCTTCAGTGGAATTGGGAAACAAGTTCAAGATTATGAATCTGGTGACACATAAAATGTTCCTGATAGGATAGATGTTTTACCTATTGATGCTGTTCGGAACATCTCTCAAAGGAGCTCGGAGACCACTAGCTCGAGACCCCGAAGAGAATCGAAATGACGATATTACCGAAACGAATCGTTCCATTGATTTTTCTGCTATGTCAGAGTAATGACTCAAGTGAGAAATGTTGGATCCAAACTTCCCTTCAGATTCTGTCTCCAATACAGTTTCATCTAGTTCATGAGCAAAGTCACTTAAACTTCAGCAAAACAACAAAACAATAACGAACTAAAATGTGATATCTCACGTTGGTTGGGGAGGAGAGCGAAACACCCTTTATAAGGGTGTGGAAACCTTTCTCTAGCAGACGCGTTTTAAAGCCTTGAGGGAAAGCCCGAAACAAAAATCCCAAAGAGGATAATATCTAATAGTGGTGGGCTTGGACCGTTGCATAAAAGTAGTGCAAGAAGCTTTTATTAGAAACTTACCATGATCAGGCTGCAATGTATCCTTACACAAATGCTTAGTTTTCACATTGTCCTGAATAAAATGATATCAAAATTAGAAAGTAGGCCAATTTTTAATAGAAGAGTTGCATAAAAGTACATACCACTTGAATTTCTTCATTTGGGGAGGCTTTTCTTTTCTTGATTGAACTGTCACAAGAATTACTAGTAAAAGAAGCAACCACGGGAGTGGCTATCTGTTCTTCATTGCATTCAGGCTTATGCTTAAAGTAAGAACTCCTTACAATGACCCTTTTGTTCTCTTTTCTCACTTTTTCTCCCGTTGTTTCAGGAAGATTCTCACTATCAGGTCCCTTATGAAGCGTTATACAAGGCTTATGAATTGGTTGAGTGTGTTGCTGCAGTAAAATATGCTCTGTGTCTTCCATTCATGAACAGAAATTAGTGTATAACCAAGTCAAAAGTGTTCTTCAGAACTGAGAGATATACATACCCTTACCAGGAAACCCATCTGCATTATCATTTCTTATCTGATAAATTCAAAAAAAATGAAGAACAAGAAGAAAAATATCAAGATAGTTTCAACAGATAAGCATGGTTCATATGATATTTGACAGAATCAAAGTCAGTTTCTTACAGGATGAGTAGAAGCTGGCGGCGGCTCCTCAGCACTAATTGAGGAGCCATCCCTGAAGGTTGAGTGATTAGCTGATTGTTTTGGGGCCCTGAACTTTCTCTTGGCATCAAGAGAGGCAAAACCTTTTGATGTTAAGAAGCACTTGACAATCTCACTCAGTCATATAACTTTCTTTCAAAACTTTAAAACTAAAACTTTTTTATGGCATTCATTTGGTCAATGATACTGTTTCTTCCTGAAAATTTTAAAAATGCAAACATATTGTGATATCCCACATTGGTTGGAGAGGAGAACGAAACACTCTTTATAAGGGTGTGGAAATCTTTCTCTAGCAGACGCGTTTTAAATATGAACATAGCGTACATCAGCTAAATGCAGTGCTCAAAACAAAAAATCCCCAAAATTCATGAAAACGATACAATAAAATAGGAACAGATCATCCACCCAATTCTATCCTGCAAGGATCATCTCATATATGATTATTATTTGTTATCTCTGCCTATGGCATGATGAAGCATAATATTTGAAGCTAGATTTAAGCAAATGCAACAAGAATAAGAATAATGGATATCAAATATCCGAGGATACAAAAGTATTTCGTCAGGACATTCTTCTGCACAGGTAAATCCAACTTTTTCTTCACACTCTCAGCGTTAAATTCTTTTAGTTTGTAAGGTTTTTCATGAACGACTCCGGTAATGATATTCTGCTCCTGTTCATGTAAAGAAAGCAAAGAAATAAGTATTACAACATAATAAACTTAAGTACTGAATCTTATTCGTCAGTGTCCCCCAACTCTGACAATCTCATGGGGATAAGAGGAAGATGGGACTTTTAGGTTACATAATATAGGATTCAGAAGATATAAGTGTAACTCTCACTTAAAGCACTAACATTATTTTCATTCCTATTTTATTACTGTTGTTCAATCATTTATATCATAGAGCACATTAAGGTCGTTGGGCAAGTGAATTCATTTATGCAGATGATTACCATTTGCTTTAGATTTGCGTGGCACCCGCATGTCATATGACTAAAAATAATGTGAGATCTCACTTTGGTTGGGGAGGAGAATGAAGCATTCTTTACAAGGGTGTGGAAACCTCTTCCTAGCAAACGCGTTTTAAAAACCTTGAAGAGAACCCCAAAAGGGAAAGTTCAAAGAGGATATCTGCTAGCAATGAGCTTGAACTGTTACAAATGGTATCAAAGTCAGACACCGGGCGGTGCGCCAGTGAGGATATTAAGCCCCAAAGGGGGGGCGGATTGTGAGATCCCACATCGATTGGAGAGAGAAACGAGTGCTAACGAGGACGCTGGTTCCCGAAGGGGGTGGATTGTGATATCCCACATCAGTTGGGAATGAGAACAAAACAATCTTTATAAGGGTGTAGAAAGCTCTCCCTAGCAGACGCGTTTTAAAAACCTTGAGGGGAAGCCTGAAAGAGAAAGCCCAAAGTGAACAATATCTGCTAGCAGTGGGTTTGGACTAAACAAATGGTATTAGAACCATACATCGGGCCAACGAGGTCGTTGAGCCCCAAATGGGGGTGGATTGTGAGATCCTACATCGATTGGAAAGAGGAACGAGTGCCAGTGAGGACGCTGGGCCCCGAAGGGGGGTGGATTGTGAGAACCCACATCGGTTGGGAAGGAGAATGAAACATTCTTTATAAAGGTATGGAAACCTCTTTCTAGTAGACGCATTTTAAAAACCTTAAAGGGAAGTCCAAAAGAGAAAGCCCAAAGAGGACAATATCGTTTAGAAGTGGGCTTGGAATATTACAAAAAAAAAAAAAAAAAAAAAAAAAAAAAAAAAAAAAAAAAAAAAAAAAAAAAAAAAAAAAAAAAATCCTAAAATTGGACATCCTATTGCTGATTAACTATCTAATTTCATCAAATTCATTGCCTTTATTAGTTGAACAATATTAAAATTATAGACTTGTTTAGGAATTATTGCATGCAATGTTCAAGTGTTCAGAAAAATAGATGATGTACCTGGAATGGTAAGTTTGTACATGGATCGATATCACCCTCGGCTATACCTTTCGCTATATGTTGCGGTATCGACGTATTATATGTTAAGTTACTGCTCCTGGTCATTTAAAGAAGAATATAGTACTAAAAATATACAACAAACAGGAATGAAGTCCAAAGAAAAGGATATGGGCCCAAGAAGTCCAAGTCATCTCCTATATTGTGGGATATTGGAGAGAGATGTACAATATCTTCAGTGATAGGGTCGTAAACCCTTTGATGCTGAAAAGTCATTATGGCTTTCTTGAATGATTCTTCATAAAGAGGAGGAACTGAAACTGTGCTGTACTTCAAGTGTCTAATCACCTAAACAAAGTCACAAAGTCACAAAGTCACTATTTTCTACACAAAACATATCTTATTCTAAAAAAGATAAAAACATTCATTTGAAACACAAACTCACCTTGTCATAACTCATCAATTTCTTGATAAGTGCATGAGCCCTTTTGAGTCCCATTCCTGGCAATGACTGCAAATAATCACAACCACTCAAAATGCACATCTCAAGAAGCATCTGTTTTGTAAATCCAGCAAAGTTCAAGTCCTTGTTCTTTGATAACATGTCGTATCGAAACTCGACTGCTTGTCCGAATTTGTCCATTTTAAAGATAATCTGATTGTACAGGAGCAGAGCAACAAAAAAAAAATCATTAAGAATTCTCCATGACATATGAAGTTGAAGCTAGATTACACCATCAAAACGTTATGAACCACGACTCTCCACAATGTTATGATATTGTCCACTTTGAGCATAAACTCTATGGCTTTGGTTTTGGTTTCCCAAAAGGCCTCATACCAATGGAAATGTATTCCTTACTTATAAACTCATGATCATTCCCTAAATTAGCCAATGCGGGACTCCTTCCCAACAATCCTCAACAATGCTCAACAATCCTCCCCTTGAACAAAGTACACTATAGAACCTCTCCTGAGGCCTATGGTGCCCTCGAACAGTCTCCCCTTAATCAAGGCTCGACTCATTCTCTGGAGTCCTTGGAGTCCTCAAACAAAGTACGCCTTTTGTTCGGCACTTGAGTCACTTTTTACTACACCTTCGAGGCTCACACTTTTTGTTCGACATTTGAGGATTCTATTGACATGGCTAAGTTAAGAGCATGGCTCTGATACCATGTTATGAACCACAACTCTCCACAATGGTATGATATTTGTCCACTTTGAGTATAAACTCTTATGACTTTGCTTTGGACTTCCTCAAAAGGCATCATACCAATGAAAATATATTCCTTACTTATAAATCCATGATCATTCCCTAAGTTAGCTAATGTGGAACTCCCTCCCAACAATCCTAAACACAAAATGGATGGGAAAATGAAAAGAATTCAAGAATGACTTCCTGTATAGCTTACCCTTGGACAGCCAAAGGGTATTAGATCAGAGTCCTCAGTAAGAACAGCATCAACCTGATTGCTGATGGCCAAGAAGGTCATCTGAGCATCTGCCTCATAAGGTGCCACAACATACGATATATTCTCCCGCTTCAACACCTTTAGAATGAATTCATGGTCAAATCCATCGTAACATTCTCAAAAAATTTAACAAATTAACGTAACAGTAATGAAAAAACTATTACTTGAATCAGTTCATAGGCTATCATAGGTGTTATATCAACGGCCTTCTGGTAACACTCATAGGCAGCAGCAGAATTTCCATTCGTCTCATGTTCCATTGCTCGTGCAAGATTTTCTTTTCTCGTCCTGTGGTGAAAAGTGAGTTTCTTCAGATGAAGAATGCCTTTAAAAGCATGGAAACCATGAATTATAAACAAAGTGGGGAAACCAAAAATAAGAAGAATTGTAACCCTTTAGTATCCTCTTCACGTATTGATGTTTTATTGTTTAAATAAGCTCAACTTTGGAGATATCAATATAGGGAAACACCCAACAAAATTGATACCCAAAGAATACATATAAGAACTTAAATGAAAGTGAAACAGCAGGTGAGTTGATGCTCGCCATACCTTGCACGCTTGATTTCTTGTTCACTCTTCATTGGAAGAAGGCCTCCATCAAAGACAAGAACGGGTTTTACTCCATAGTGCCGTAGTAGATTTATTCTATGCATACAGTAATCAATGTGCCTATAAAACCAAATGGCATATAGTTATGAGTTTCGACAATGCTGCTAAGAAAACTACTTTCTTCGTCTCTTTCTTTTCTATTGTTTTTCAATTTACGTATTTCACCCAAAAAAAAAAAGCCTATTTTCATATCCCCTGCCATTGGATCAAAGAAACTGCAGAAATCGAAAAACAAAATTGCACCCAGCAAGCTCTTCGATGCTCTGAGTCAAGTATCACGTTCTAAAGCCAAGCCATGGCGCAGGATTGTGTTTTCTGCCATATTGTTCATTTGATTCTTGGAAATCGAGTTTGAATCATTCAAACATTGCCTTTCAATATTAAACTCAGAGCATCAACAAGTGCCATTTGATGACTAAATTCAAAGTAAACAGCAGATTACAAACCTATTAATATCAAACTATTATGGGCCGAAGGGAAATTTCACGAACTGGGTATTCGAGATATTGGGTATAGATGCAAGTAAAGTAGCTAATACATGAACAGAAGTCGAAAGCAATATGCGATTTTTGAATCCAGAAGAGAGTATAGAGAATGGAGATACTTGGAGGTGGGAAGGGCATTGCAGAGGTCTTTGCTGCAGGAGAAAGCGCCTTTGTGGAGCCAAGAATAGGTATCGATCGCGACAGAAGAACCCTCCAAATCCTTGATGTGGATCGGCACCATTATCGACTTCAGTAGCGGCAACAGCCCCTGAATCCCCATTGCTCTTTTGGGTGCTTAGCTCTGATGGTGGAGATGAGATTGATGAGGTTATCTCAAGGAGGGAGAGAGGCAAATGGCGGGAAATTTTCATACCTCTAAACCGCTCACTCGTTTTTTCCACACCATGTTTTCGTAGGTTCCAAAATTTTGGGGAAAAAATTAAAAAGCTTAAATAAAAAAAAATATATTTACAAATACATGAATACCCTAACTTTCTTAATACATTAAAATTTTGTTTGAATGAATCCAAATATTTTGTCCCATGAATCCAAAATCGAACTGAATTTCAAAAAAAATGAACCCAATGCAATCCAAACTGCTAATCCAACCCTAAACTCACCTACCCAATGCAACCCAAACTACTAATCCAACCCTAAATTCACATCCTATAATTAGGGTTGGGTTGATTCATGTTGACTCCAACCCTAAACTCACCTACCCAATACAACATAAAACTCTTACCCAATACAACCCAAACGGCTAATCCAATCCTAAACTCACCTACTCACACCAACTCAAACTGCTAATTCAACCCTAAATTCATTTCTTGGGTCAATCCAAGTTGTGGCGTTGAATATATACCCTTAATAAATGTCCTTATCATTGGAGATTAGATGAAAGACTTCTAAATTTTGTTTCAATGATCTATCTTAACTTTCCAAAATTTCAAAATAATGATAGTTTAAAAGTAAACTTTGAATAGAAAATATTAGACTTCATTTCTACCAACTACCATAAATATGATCATATTATCAATCGACTTCGTTTTTACCAACTACCATAAATATGATCATATTATCAATCTTAAAAGTAACTTACAATTCCATTTATGCTTTCAAATATTTCAAAAAAAAAATAGATTGACTTCAATGTTATGTTATTTCGTATAATTTATCACCGAGGTCATAAGTTCAATAAAAAGAAACGAATATCGATTCGGATCAAACTAAAACATCATTTGATTGTAGAGGAGCATCATCCTGTTCCATATCTCATGCTAGAACTGTCAAGTACAGAACAAGAATCTGAGATCAGGTGCTTGTAATGTGCAGCAATGGCGATTCCAACACAAAAATTCCAAATCAAATCGGCACAAAACATTGTTCAACACTAGGTGGTGTGTTTGCTTGAGGGGGAGGGGTTGAAACTAAAGAAAGAAGAAGCCACAACTCAAACTAATATTAACATGCTGATGCAGAGCATGCTTTGCACGTTTAGGACAGACGAGTATCCTCCTGCCATACCCGATCATACTGTATACCGGCTCTTCGCATGTCTGTCGAGTTTCTTTGCATCGTCCTGAACAAGAAACAACATGATATCAGAAACACGAACCAAAAGATTGGAGTTCTAACCACAAGAAATGCAAATGAAACCTATGTGGCAGCATACATACATGGAATATAAAGCCAATGCTGTCATTGTAATCAAGGAACTCCTTCCACTGCTTTCCAATGCTTGCCTAACCAGAAAAAAGAGAACGGGATGCAGAGACATTAACTGATGAACGAACAGAATCCGAACGGTAAACAATTTCCACCATTGAACATGAGTAAAATTATTGTTCATAAATGAAGTTCATTGCGTGTGCCAGAACAGAGTATTGTATTGATGAAAATCTAGTGGGCCGTATATATAAAACTATTGGTCTAGTGGCTATTACCTGCGCAGCTTCATTGGAAGCATTCTTTGTCCAAATCGATATTTTATCCTGCCCAGATCTGACATTAACAACTGCTCCACAAATTTCGTCGCCACAATCAAACTGTTCTCCGATCATAGCAAGCAGCTGGATGGAAGTAACTGATTGTTAGAGATAAAAGACTAGTGTCTCAAATATTTTGCTCGTGTCAAATTGTATGTGCAGTTCATAGTACCGTGTACAGCCAGCCATTATCGGATTTGCCCCTTGAAAAGTTAACAGTCCATTTCCCTCCATTCGCACAAACAGGATCCTCCCATTTTGGCTCAATGTGATGTTTAAAGCAGTACAAATCTGCTCTCAATGCCAATTTACTTGGATGATGAATATTGTTGTAAACACTAAAAAAATGAGGGAAACAAACATGAACAAATAGGTCAACCAATCTGAGGGAAAGTGAAAACAAAAAGACAATAGAGACATAAGTTAACAACCAATTAAATACAAAAGATGTAGTACTTGCAAGTAGAAACTTTTGTCAATGTCTTCGTGAAGCAACCATTTATAATTATAAGTAACGAACGGACCCGGAAACTAACATTACATTCACAAACAAAAGAAGGATTGTCAACAATATAAAAGCAAACGGAATAAGCATCTAGACAGAAACGTTTCAGAAGCAAACCACGTATGCAAATGCTTCACCAACTTTCTATTATGTTAAAAAGATTCTCCTTTTTTTTTGGAAATCAGTAAGTTTACGGGTCAGCTTATATGCATCTTCGACTATTCTCATGAGACAACAGTAGGACGTCAAATCCAAGTGAGTGATCACTCATAACATGGGTCCTAATTTAACCCACGGTACTTTATTCAAAAAGTATAATTTACGAAGACAAAAACTCTGGTAATCAGAGAACACCACAAAACAGAACGAACAAGAAGGAAGGAGGCAAAGATGGTAAGCTAAAAAAGTAACCATAGCTGCAAAACAAGAAAGGAAAACAACTTGAAAATTGTTACATCAAATGAACATCCAAACTCGTCGAAATTTAAGTTGCTGAAATAAATCGCCAAGGGATAATAAAGTCCAGATGAATTGGCAGAAGCGGCTGTTTATATAAATTCAAAGCAATTTTCTAACACCATAGTTGGTAAAATTGAAGTATATCTTACTCCTGTCTGATTCTTAGGTCTACACACCAGGATATAGTCGAAGTATTTCAGACTAAATCTGAGAAAATTCACAAAGACTATGTATATGAACGTAAAAAGTGAAGTGTTCAACAGAACTCCCAAATAAAACCCTAAGAGGGTCTGGAAATACACACAAGAACAGGACAACGCAGAAAGCAGAAACATCGCAGCATAGATTTTAGACCTTTAATTCCAAGCACATATCAAGAACATTAGCCCATAAACTCGATTCCTTCATTACACGCGACAAGAATATTTTTCTTTCACATTTTCTCCATCAATAAGCCCCTTCTCTACAGCCCTCGCAATCACAATCCCTTCTTTGTCTCAGTGTTCTTCGAATTAAATAGAACAAGACCAAGGTAACTAAACCACTACAAAACATGGAAGAAATTTCAATTTCTTAAAGCTACATCGAATGGTATTCACCTGAAGTCTCCTAAAATTTCCCACAAAAAGAAAAAAAAAAAACGAACCAAGAAACACCAAAAACATAACCGAAAGCAAGAGATAAAACACATCAAAAGAAACTCTACCTCCAAAACTCCTCAACAGTAGAGAAGGTATAAATCGGTCGGATAGACGCACCCCATGTGGCCTGTTTAGATTTGGCAGAAGGGTTATCGAACCAGAAGGTCCAAGAGTGCTCCAATGGGTGAGGCTGGTGCACTATCGCCGCCGATAAATTGGACGCGTCGAGGTCGTCGGCGCCGACGATCTCTCCTTCCTCAAGTTCCTCATCTTCCTCAGCACCTCGTCCCCTAGGGTTTTGATTTCCAATGGAATTGGAGAGATCTTCCGCCGATGGAGCCTTGATCGTCTCTTCGACTACCATTTTTCTTTCACTAATTCGTTGTGGGATTAAGCGAATCAGAGAAATGTAATCAATGGAAGGGAACCGATGGGAAGAAGAATGGCACCGCCCTCGTATTTTCTGTTGGGCGTTTCAGTCTGCTATTCATGGCTTGGGCTTGGGCTTGGGCTTGGTCTTGGGCTTGGGCTTGGTCTTGGGCTTGGGCTTGGTCTTGGGCTTGGTCTTGGGCCTTCCATACACAACAATATTAAAAAAAACATTAATATTTATTATTTTATAATTTTATAATTTTTAAAGTCACTTTTTTTCTTCTTCTTCACCTTGTACTTTTATAATATTTATTTTAGTCCTTATATTTTATAAAAAGGGACCATTTTAACCCTTAAATAGAAAATAATAAATAATTAAGTTAAAACTAGAATTTCAAAACTATATACGTGTTAATATTGCAATATTTCTTAAATTTCAAGGTTAAAATGGTAATAATGATCTAAATTTAAAGTAATGAAACTGAAAGCTTCTATAAAATTTGACAGTCATAAAAATTAGAGATCAAAATTGATTAATAAATACTTCCGTTCGAGTCATGAACTCACAAACACAAGTTTCATGCTAAGTTAATAAGGTAGCTAAAACGAGTGATCCCATTTAAATCGAAGCTCAAAATGTCAATGAATATACTCGGTTTCATAGATGATGCACCTCATCGAATGCTTAATAAACTCAAAACTCTTTAAGATCGTGTTGTGGACATAGAAGCTTTCTAACTAGACGAGCTTGCTCGATAGTAGAATCGTGATGCATTAGAACCATGATATACTCAATTTTTTAATATTTACCAAATCCATGCAATTTGAAAGGCAATGGACAGAGAAAAAGCTGAAAGATGAAGAGATGGAAATTGAAAATTGAATCTACTAACCAAATTGATTTGAAGAGATCAGATCAATTTACAAAATATCAATGTATTACATACACAACTATGCTCAGCGGACCAGTTGCTTCATTCCCTCTTCCCAACCTCAATGCACAAAATCCTACGGTGCCTTTCGAGTCGGGCAAATCCTTCACGAACAGCGATTTGAAGCTTCGTGAACCTTACGGCAGCTATGGCTTCCGTATCTCAACCTAGCACGGAACGGAACATAATGAATTTGAGGTTCATAAAAGAGGGAGGTTACAGAAACAGTTGATTGAGCATGGAGAGTAGTAATGGGGAAGAAGGCACTCCAGCTACTATTGCAGTTCACTATGCTAAGGAAAACAAGGAAAACAACGCACAAGTAAAGTGTAACCGCCTAAGCCTAAACCCAAGCCCACCGATAGCAGATATTGTCTTCTTTGGGCTTTTTCTTCCGAGCTTTCCCTCAAGGTTTTAAAACGTGTTTACTAGGGAGAAGATTCCACACCCTTATAAGAAATGCTTCGTTCTTCTCTCCAATTCACCCTCCTTGGGGGCCAGCATCCTCGCTGGCACACATTCTGGTGTCTGACTCTAATACCATTTATAAAAGCCCAAGCTCACCGCTAGCATATATTGTCTTTTTTGGATTTTCTCTTTCGGGCTTCTCCTCAAGACTTTGAAACACATTTGCTAGAAAGGGATTTCCACACTCTTATAAATAATTTTTTATTTCCCTCTCCAATTGACGTGAGATCTCACCTAAAGAATTCACAGTTAATTTTTTCAGTTTTGCTTGAAATATAAATACCTTGAAACCTATGTAAGACCTTAATAACGACTTTATCAGCAAACCATTTCAAAGAAGAACCAAAATAGTTCTTCTCAAGCTAAAAGTATTAAAAGCAAATATCAACCATTAGATAATCGCTCAAAACTTTTGAAATCAGCAGTGAGCTAATTCATCCGCAAGACAAGGGGACAAGAGATCATAAAAACACATTTTCGAACAATGACTCTCTCCAACAGAAGTATTTTAAGAAACGACCTCTTTTTGTTTTTGTTTTCACTCAAGGAGTGAACACAAAAGAACAACTATTTTAAGTGAATTCTATGGCTTTGATGGACAATGAAAATGTAACAATCCAAGCCTACCATTAGCAGATATTGTCCTCTTAGGGCTTTCCCTTTTAAGCTTCCCCTCAAGGTTCTAAAACACGTCTACTAGAGAGGTTTCCACACCCTTATAAGAAATGCTTAGTTCTCCTCTCCAACCAATGTAGGATCTCACAATCCACCCCTTGGGGAACCTGCGTCCTCGCTGGCACACTGCCCGGTGTTTGGCTTTGATACCACTTGTAACAGTCCAAGCCCACCACTGGCAAATATTGTCTTCTTTGGGCTTTTCCTCAAGGTTTTAAAACGTGTCTCTTACGGAGAAGTTTCCACACTCTTATAAGAAATGCTTCATTCCCTTCTCCAACCAACGTGGGATCTCCCGAAAAAAACTTATAGAAGATTCAAAATCATACTTTCAACTAATAAAGAGTTTAGAATGAACGAGTTTAATCCATGGTAGTCACCTATCTAGAATCTAATATCCCATAAGTTTTCTCAGCAATCAAAGGTCAAACACTCACAAATATCAACGACCAAAAGAAAATTATAGGTTCACCCAATGTAGAAAACAACACAACCTTATCCAAGAAACACATGGCTTAACAAGAAACAAGGAAAATTCACAGTGCACTCAAACACCTTTAGAAAGGAAGCCTCCAAGATTGACGACACTAAATGCAGACAACCAGACAAGACAATCCAGTAAAAGTTTCTTGTAACATTCCATTCAATAGACTATGTTAGCAATCCATAGTCTATTCCCAAACAATCTAAGGTGGATAAACTTATCCCAATTCCCAAACAATCACATAGCCATCTGTTAGCAATCCATATTCCTCTCAAAGACAAACATAAAAGAAATCATCATATAACCAGAAACCAGTAGATAGGCATAAATCACAAGACATACAACAGTTACATAGTCATACACAAAAATGTGTTCGTAGTAGTTCGTACCCCACTGACATTTAATCAAACAGTTAAACCGCAAACAAAACAACTCAAAAATTACAAACAAATCCTCCAAAATCACCAAATCCCAGCTCTCAAACAAGAGGACATTGGTCGAAAAGCATGATAAATCCACACAATCTAAAGAAAAAAAAGATTGAATCAACTAAACTACCTTCGAGGCATAAACCGCCGCTTAGTAAACTCAAAAAAAGAGCAGGAAACTCCATGGCTGGACTGGATCTGAGCTTGGAAAAGACAGGACATGTTTTTGAACCCTAAATTTTACAGAGGGATTGGGTAGATTTTGGGGGGTTTAAGGAAAAATGGCGTTTGAACAATCAGCGGTGAGGGGACGAGAGTGGGGTTTGTTCCACCGCACGACTTCCCAGATAGAGCAACAGAGAGAGAGAGAGAGGGAAATGGCGTTGTTTTTTTGTTTAAAATGTTTTTCAACTTATCCGAGGTGGCTCTGTTTCGTCTGCTTTTGAAAACGAGTCCCCCGCCCTTTCCAAAACGCAGCGTTTTGACGTATCTTTCCCCACTCGCTCCAATTGCCAACGGCGTGTGAGTTGTTTGATGCAAGTGGCGCGTGGGCTGCACTTTCCAATCGACGTGGACGTAACTGTTATTATTATTATTATTATTATTATATTTTTTGTTATTTGCGTTAATAGCAAAATTAACCTGCTGGCGGCCGTTAATTGAATTAGGCCATAGAGAGAACTTTATTTTAAGGTAAGTGTTTTCTCATATATGGAGACAAAGGCTACATTCTTTGTCTAATTCTTGTCGGGTCCCAATTATTTATTTATTTATTTATTCATTGTTGTTGTTATAAATAAGTCGTTGAAAACAATGTTATAACATTTAACTCTGTCTAGGATTCGAAATCCAGATTTGGGAGCCATTGGTTCGACATTTGATAGCCTTGAAATTCCTGCATCTCTTATGACATGATCAATGGTCCTGACATTCTAGTATCTCTTATGACATGGTCGATGGTCCCAACATTCCCTTGCATCTCCTACGACATGGTCGATGGCCCCGACATTCCCTTGCATCCCCTACGACATGGTCGATGACCCCGACATTCCCTTGCATCCCCTACGACATGGTCGATGGCTCCGACATTCCCTTGCATCCCCTACGACATGGTCGATGGCCCCGACATTCCTTACATTCCCTACAACATGATCGATGACCCCGACATTCCTACATCCCCTATGACATCCTTTAGAGAAATGCATGTTGCACATATTGTAATGGATTCCAAATGGTACACAATGAAATTTCTATTGGAAGTTGTATTTTGTACTCTCAAAAGGAAAGAAGTTTACATAGTATCACCATAGTATCACCAAAGAACGTTATACGAACATTCAACTTTATAAGTGATTAAATTACGATAGAAATTGTAGATTGAGTTCGCCAAAAACTGATTGTATTGTTTTTTTTTTTTTCCTGATATATATGATCGATTTCATTTGTTAGTGTGAAGAAAAAGAAAGAAAAATGCTTCAAACCTAAAGATGTCTCCACATAGAGAGTTTGTCACTCTAAGTATGTTAGCCATATATCAAGGTGAGACTTCTACATTTCTCGACAATAACCAAAAACTTTCGACATAAGTGGTCTTTTCCAAATATATATTTGTTAAAGTATAGTTATGATTTTCTTCGTCTATCTATGTATCTATTCACTTCCTTGTATTATGGTAATACCAATCACGAGTTTCGAAATATAGCTTCCATCATTTGGTTTCTTAGTCACCACTTCAACAAATGTCCTAATCAATAAGAAGACAGACAAATCTTCCCTCTCATGGTGTTGAATATGACTATATCACCACTAATTTCATGATAAGAATATGATATACGTGCTCGGGTTCGAACCTCCGAGCTCTCAGTTCATTTCAAGACAGACCCAACAAAACAATATAAATTCTAAATGTGCCTAAGTTATTGGTCTCCACATAACAATAGACATATTACACAGCAAGTTACCATCAATTAATCGATGTCGCTAATTTAATTGGTTCATGCAATGGTATCATCTCTTCCAAAAAAAAGAATAACTATACACAAGTACACATCTAAACCATGATGTTGAGAAAAGAATACATAAATTTAATTGATATTAAAACCCAATATATGTGGACAATTGGGTCAATACTGCTTACCATCCTGAATGAAGACGACTATGGAATATGCACTCAGATGTGGATTAAACCGCTTCAGGAACAGTGTTCATAGTGGGAATCCTCTGGCGTTTCTCCACATATGATGATGGAAACCAACCAGCTCTACCTTTACATTCTCCTTCTGACCATCCTGAAGGACTCACCTGCATGAATATGCTGATTTTCAAGCTACAGAACATATAATAGATTCCACGAGTTTTAGTTTCCTTTGTAGCATAAAAAACTGGAGACATGGAATAAGTTGAGTGCTCAAGACTTCTTTTCATCTTCAAAATTACAGATTTGATAGAGAGATCTCACATCGATTGAAGAGGGAAACAAGTGCCGCGAGGACACTGGACCTAGAAGGGAGATGGATTATGAGATCCCACATCGGTTGGAGAAGGGGATGAAGTATTCTTTACAAGTGTGTGGAAACCTCTTCCTAGCAGACGTGTTTTAAAACCTTGAGGAAAGCCCATAAGGGAAAGCTCGAAGAGGGCAATATCTACTAGCGGTGGGCTTAGACTGTTACAAATGATATCCGAGCCAGACACTAGATGGTGTGCCAGCGAGGACGCTGAGTCCCGAAGGGGGGTCTATCCGACATTGATTGGAGAGAGGAACGAGTGCCAGCGAGAACACTGGGCCTCGAAGGGGAGTGGATTGTGAGACCTCACATCGATTGGAGAGGAGGACGAGTGTTAGAGAGGACGTTAAGCCCTGAAGGGGGGTGGATTATGAGATTTCACGTCGATTGGAGAGGGGAACGAATCATTCTTTATAAGAGTGTGGAAACCTCTCCCTAGCAGACACGTTTTAAAACGGCCCAAACCCACCGCTAGTAGATATTGTCCTCTTTGGGCTTTCATTTCCGGGCTTCCCCTCAAGGTTATTTTAAAACATGTCTGCCAGGGAGAGGTTTCCACACCCTGGGTGTTTCGTTCTCCTCCCCAACCGATGTGAGATGTCACAATCCACCCCCTTTCAGGGCCCAGCGCCCTCGCTGGCACTCGTTCTCGTTCTTTTCTCCAATCGATGTGGGACCCCCACCAAATCCATCCCCTTCGGGGCCCAGCATCCTTGCTGGTATACCACCTTGTGTCTAACCCCTTCGGGGAACCGCCTCCTCGTTGGCACATCGTCTGGTGTTTGAATCTGATAACATTTATAACGGTCCAGGCCCACCGCTAGCAGATATTGTCCTCTTTGGGATTTCCCTTTTGGGTTTCCCCTCAAGATTTTTTAAAACACGTCTGCTAGGAAGAGGTTTCCACACCCTTATAAAGAGTGTTTCGTTCTCCTCCCCCACCGAGGTGGGATGTCACATGAAATATACAATAGCCTATCTATTCAGTTTACCCATCAATCCATGAAAAACAACTTGAAAACAAACAATTATATCTCTCTTTTATTGATCTTTCTAGTCGCAGTTTATGATATTCCCTAGGCGTCCAAATTTGCAACATGCGTACTTGAAACAAATAATTGAGAAAATCGTCTCAAGGAGATAAAAAGTACCTTTCGCACAACAACGTAGTCACCAACTGACAAGCTCAGTTCCTTCTCTGATGCAGCACTAAAAGAATGCACCGCCTACACAAATTAAAAGAGATTCATAAATTATGAACAATTAATAGAACTACATATCTAAGTAGCAGTTCAGGGAAAAAGAATGAGGTTATATTAAGGAAAATGAGAGTAAAAGGTTTAGCGATGTCAACTGCAAGTGAACCAATTATTACATAAATTTGATTAACCAGCACAAAAGGACTGATCATGGATATTGCAAAATATTTAGTTATATATCCACCAGACTTGTCACCAAATAGACCACTGCAGACTACATGTGGGACCAATCTCACTCGTTCAAGCGTATCCAGAATTATTCTTGTTCCCCTTAAACACTCGGCTTGCTTATTTCTATTTTTCTCTATAAAAGTTGAAGAAGTAGTCACGACTTAGCAGGCAGCTGAAAGAGCTAACCGAATCAAAGAAAGTACAGCACAATGAGACAATCCAATTTTTACAGATCCGATGATCCCAAAAATAATTTATTCGCTAGACAGCATGGGTTAACATTCAAATTTCCCTCCCAAGAATAACTTAAATCATCCTCTTAGTGGCTGTAAACTAGTAACCTGTAAAGGCATTATGGACAATGTTAGGATCGCACGAGCGCACACACTAGATCTAGATGAACAGAAAAGAGAAAATGTAAGGAGAATATTGGCTAAAGAATTTGACACTAGATCTAGATGAACAGGAAAGAGAAAATGTAAGGAGAATATTGGCTAAAGAATTTGATACTAGATCTAGATGAACAGGAAAGAGAAAATGTAAGGAGCATTTGGCTAAAGAATTTGTATTGATGACTAGAGAGAATACAGAAAGCACTTTTTCAAAGCTGGATATACATATGGTTTAGCTTACTTTACCTGATATAACCATCGCTATTTACTATTTATGACAATTTACTTTATATGTCATTTACCAAATATAGTTTACTATGTATAACGGTTGACTGAGCTAGGCAGCCGCCTCCATAACCTAACAGACAATTCAAGAACCAATGAACAAATTGTGTTTGGCGCTAAAATGGGGTAAAGTATTGACTCTCCACAATGGTATAATATTGTCCACTTTGAGCATAAGCTCTCATGACTTTGTTTTGGGCTTCCCCAAAAGACTTCGTATCAATGGAGACGTATTGCTTACTTATAAACCCATGATCATTCCCTAAATTATAATCCTCAATAATTCTCCCCTCCAACAAAGTACACTATAGAGCCTTCCCTAAGGCCTATGGAGCCCTCGAACAGTCTCCTCTTAATCAAAGCTCAACTCATTCTCTGGAGTCCTCGAACAAAATACACCATTTGTTCGACACTTGAGTCACTTTTGACTACACCTTCAAGGCTCACAACTTTTTTGTTCAACATTTGAGGATTCTATTGGCATGGTCAAGTTAAGGGCATGGTTCTGATACCACGTTAGGAATCACGACTCTCCACAATGGTATGATATTGTCCACTTTGAGCATAAGCTCTCGAAAAAGTCTCATACCAATATTCCTTACTTAAAAACCCATGATCATTTCCTAAATTAGCCAATGTGGGACTCCTTCCTAACAATCCTCAACACAAGACACAGTACCCAAAAACAAATCGCGTTACTCGTGCATGGTAGAAGATAGAAAGAGTAGTTCAAAATAAAATAAATAGTGGAACTGTTAGTATCTATTTATTCTTATGAATACTAATGACCAGTAAAAAGCATACTTCAGCCAAAAAGAATGATGATTTCTCTGGGTGATTTTCTGATGAGATCAAAGGAGGAGCGGACTCTTTTCTTTGTTTCTCTGTCACCATCTGAACAAAATAACAAAACCAAAAAAAAAAAAAGAAACGCATAAAATTAATTAGGGTGGTCAATGTTGCAAAAATATCATGAGAGACTAACCTCTGTTTCGACCTCCCCGAGGATAGCAGCTACTCTAAGATGGTATGTCTTTTCACCTTCAACCTTAATAAGCAACAGCATCATAATGGATATCAAACTCATCGTAGCATTCCAACCATTAAACTAGCAAGTATTAACTAACTACTACATGCTTTACATTGTATTTTAGCCAGTTAAAACCAAGTTCATACCCACCATAGCAACTAGCCTCTGCAAAGTAAGTCTCTGCTGCTGTGCTTCAACAGCGGCTAATGCAGCTGAAGCTTCCTTCCCAAGAACTGCCATGTTTGCTTTTAGTTCCTGCATCTTTGCTTCTGAAGCATGTAACTTCGCAACATTTTCGGGGTTAGAGAATTCCCTAACACGTGCTCGTCTTCTGGAAATCTCTGCTGCCTGGATAGAAATTGAGAAGGCTAATTTACAAACGTACAAATTTACGAACACAAGAAACAGTCAAACATGACGGTCTATTGGGAAAATAAAACGAGGTTTGCTACTGCATACAGTTGATAAATAAGATGAAATTTTTAGTACCAGTGATTCTGCTTCCTGTCTCATTCGGCTATAACGTTGAGCAAGATTTCGAGCATCTTCTAGAGGAGGACCAGTAATCATTGCCCTCAAGGGATCTAAAATCTGAAAAATCAACAAGTTCCATGTTAAATTAATTGTTAACTATTACAAAAACATACACCAGAGAAGGAAAAACAAGTCAGTGCAAACCATGACAATTTCATTTTGAACGTTTTCTTAACATCAATAAAAGAAAATTGATGAGAAACACAAGGAAAATATACTAACAAAAACGAAGAACAATCTAAATGTCAAAGGGATGAGGAGTTGCTAAGCCAAAAAGAGGAGGAATCACAAAAAAGGCTTCCAATCTATGTTGATCAACAAAAGAAGAATGTTACAAAAGGAGTTGACAAATCAAATTTTAATACATACATATATAAATTTAAATTTAAAAAAGAGAGAGAGAGAGAGAGAGAGAGAAGAAAAAAATTAACCACAATTAACTGAAGTTAAAGGTAGAACTAAAAGATGTACGTGAAGAGAGAGAGAGAGAGCATAAGTACACAAGATGACAAGAAAAACTAAGATACTCCTTTCCAATTTAAGGAAACTCGTGAGAAAGGAAAAGTGTACAGCATATTCTTCATCAATGTTTGATGATGGCATGGTACAGTCATGAAGGTGCAATGTGGAATATGCTAAATCCTAGGGCAAACATGTAATAATTCCAATATAAAGAAGCTTAATATCTGAACAAGGATGTGCTTATGGTTAACTCTTTATTGTTTGTAACTGAACTGTAGAGTCCAACCAAAACAAATGGGGCTCCAATCTAGCAAAATAACACCAAGAGAATAGATATTTAGATATTTCTTGTGCAAATATGGTTTTGAAGATTTGGATTGTGTTTTAATGGAGATATTCTTTTAGACTTCGATTAGGGATATATTTTAATTTTGGAGACCTTTGATATGCACTTGGCTCACTGTAGATCGTGTTGCTCAATGATGGAGGAAATTATTTATTAAATGAATAACTAAACTTTCAATGTAAATTTTCCATGAGAAAAAAATGAAAGAGTACAAAGACACAGAAAAGGGCTAAATTAATAAATATACTTTTGAAGTTTATACTTTCTCTCAAAAATACCATTGAACTCTCAAAAATTCCAATAATAGTCTTAAACTTCAAAAAAAGATTCAAAAACACAATTTCCATTAGTTTTGAATGGAGTTTCAAAAATACTCTTGAACTTTCAAATTGTTTCAAAAATACCTTTGAAATGTCAAAAGTTTCATTAATACCCTTAATTTTTTTTAAAAGTTCAAAAATACCCTAGATCTTTCAATGTTTTATTAATCCCCTTAAAATAATTAAATTAAAAAATGTCCTCGAATTTTCAAAAGTTTCATTAATAACCTTAAACCTTTTTAAAATGTTAAAAAAATACCCTTACCATTAGTATATTAACAGAACTATTAGTACCACATTCCAAAAATATCCATGAATTTTTAAAAGTAACATTAATACCCTTAATCTTTTAACTTAAAAAAGTTCTTAGTGTTAGCATATAGACGGAAACTATTCATCTACACCTCACAGATCAACTCCCTTTTTAATTTCCTCTCTCTTCTCTGCTTTAACCTATGACCCAACAATTCCTCATTTCTCATCTTTTTCCCATCGCTTCTTAAATAACTTTCTTTTGCCTCAATCTCTAAAGCTTTCCACATATGTCCCATTTTTTTTCTCTCTCTCTCTCATTTAATACTAGAACTTTAAATAAAAATGAGGAACTCTCTCATTTCTAAGCATTTCCAAACATAAATATAAAAAATTTAAATACCCACACAGTCAATTTGTTTTCAAGTTGGTTCTTTCAAACGCAAGATAATTTCAAAGAAATTTTATATTTGGTTGTTGAAGTTCTTATATTTATGTTTTGAAATGCTCATAAAATGATAGAACTCCTCTTTTTGTTTATACTTAAATGAAACTTTTGAAAGTTCAAGGGTATTTGTGAAACAAAATATGGGTGATTTTATCCAACACTAACCGTAATAGTATTTTTTTTAACTTTTTTAAAGTTCAAGGGTATTATGGAAGCTTTTGAGATCTCAAGGGTATTTTTGAGGTAAGGTACAAAATTCAAGGGCATTTTTATTAATTTACCCTAAAAAAACAAAGACCGTAATGAAAATGAGGCAAAGTATAGAAAGTGGTTCCCAAGTAAAATGAGACATGACGGGTAATTATGAAAAAACATCATCATTGAAACTGACAAAGAGACATAAAACCTAACAAGGGACCAAACATCACCAAAATCCCTATCAAACCTTCTAAAGGTTCTATTATTTCTCTCCCCACAAACTCCATAAAACTGCACAAATACCCGTTTGTCAGAATAACCTCCCCAGAAAGGGCAGATGGAGTACTGTTTTGGGGCATGGGAGGAGCCCTCTGAGTGCAACCTTTCCAGCAATCTTATGGACATTTTTGGTTTGAAAGATATTGGATAATCTTTGTTTCTTTGTTCAGGCATCAAATGCGGTGGGCTGATTCTGTTTTTGTTTGCTCATGTGCTGATGTGTATTCTTTCAATATTCTTAATAAATACCGTTTTGGGGCATGGTTTTCCAACTTCGATATATATATTTCTAGCTGGAAGTATCCTTAATGCCATTGATAAGGAGTGGGCCAAAATAATTCACCAAGTAGTATCCCTAATGGCTTTGATATTCTAAGTTTTTTTTTTTAGTATAAAAATACTTAAATAAATAAAAACTAGGAAGGAACAAATTTGTTATTGCAAAAGAAAAGAAAATTTACAAAAACAAAAAAAGGTGGAAAAGAGATCCACCTGAGGAGTCACAGGAGCTTAATAAACTGCTCCAGTTGCCTAAAACAAATAAAAGAAAAAAGAAGCATGGAAATGGTACACCAACAGAAAGCCACAAATTTCACCGAGTTGTAACGTTTCATTCAGCTAATAAATTGAAATCACGTATATGGTGAGATGGTTCAAATAAGGTCATGAGGGATGTTTCTAACCATTTTCAAATGGTTCCATTTCTATTAGCTCGAGAGAGCAACTTAAGTGGAATAGACATGAAGAAGACAAAATATGATCACTAAAGTTCTATTATCATCCTCAACTCGCCAGCTCAGGCAAAAAAAAAAAAAAAAAAAAAAAAAGCATCAAACTCATTCAAGATGTTAAGTTTCTATATAAATGCAATGATGCAAACAAAATATTAATCGGCAGTCACACCAACCTGTGAAGATAAAAGCTTGATCAAGTCCTCCTGTTCCTTCTCCACATGCTTGCGAGCATCGCCATATATAGATGAAGCTTTTGCTAATATATTTTCATTGTTATTATTAGCTCCATAGTTGCAACAATCCTCAGATAACTTGTTACCTGACAGACACGGGGATTAAACATGAAGGAAACCATGAAAGCCAATTTTGAAAAAGTTGAGTTCATACAGTTGTCCAACATAAGTATAACCATTAGGTCAAGTCTTGTATTTAACACGGTAAATTATCTCTACCGCGTGATGTAAAGTCAAATCATAACGTCATTGCAGAATTTTCACCTGTCTCAATATGCCTATATCCTATGGCTGTAAATACTTCTCCTGCTTTAACAATATCCTTTTGGAATTCCTACAGAAAGAAATGAATAGGACGTGGAACAAAATCAATTAAAACAGAAGTAGAAAATTCTTGATAATGTTGCAAATTGTAGACAAAATAAATCCTCACGATATGTGGAGATCAACTCATTCTAGATAATTAATATTAGAATTGTCACATCCAAAGATTTGAACCAAAGCTTCCGAACAACAATAAAAAAGTCCTAAACACGTTCAACATTTGTAACTTATCCTAACACTTCTCTCGTGAAGAATGATTTCAATTAAACACATTTGAAATATTAAAAATCATCAAAGTTTCATGTGTCACAATTGAGATCATCTAACAATGATTAACTTGAAGTAGACTGGTTTAAAAAAACATTAAAGTTTTCAGGATAAAATTTCTTCATGGGAGAAAATTGGATTGGTGAAACACTGATACAATGTGCAAATCCTCCATTGAATTCCTCTGTGTTCCCTAATCAAATCATCTTACTAAGAACACAAACTACTAAAATAAAGAGGAAGGGAGAAAGTGGATCGCCCATGTGTAATCACTCAAGTAGGAAAGAGTTTAACTCTAGGCTTACCATTAAGAATTATAAAAAAAGCTCATTATCAGTATTATCAACATGAGCCCCATGTAAGGAAGGGGGAAAGGGGTCATCTAGCTACGGATAATCATTTTAATTACTTTACATTGATATACAATTCTGCACTAGTATACTTTAGTCCTTGATGGTTTGAAATCTGAGAAATTTTACCTTAAGGTTTCATTTAGAAATGACAAAATCGCCCGAAGCTATGATGAAGATTCTTTGACTTGATCAAAGAAAAGATTGAGGATGGTCTTTTTCTCAATATGATTTTAGAGAAAGGGATGGGTAATACATTCCTTGCCCTGATCTCGCCCCTATACTTTTAAATTATAGTCATATTTATATCTATGTTTCCACATTAATAAAATCATTGTTAATTTTTTAAAAGATAATTTTTTACATAAATAAATATTTTTCAATTTTTTCCGTATTCTTTAGCCAAATAAAGTTTATTTCTATATATTTGCTAAATTTTATAAAATCATTTTCTCAAACTCACTCCAATTTCCAATGGGTGGGGGCAAGGATCAAGATAAGAATTACCTTACAATTAGGGATCAGGGAGGTCTTCCTAACCCACTATCATTTCTATCAATCCACGCCTCGGTCTATGCATTATATGACATATTATTCTTTCTCTACTCACACTTGGTTCCATTCAAATCTAAATTGCAAAGTAACTTGAAACAAAGTTTCTAATTAAAAAAACACAATTTATTATAGTATAAAAGTGTATCTCATAAAAGAAAAAAGAACAAAGAAGCAGTATTGCTCACCCCATTGCACGGTTCAGTTTGTAAGTAAACATGAACCAAACTAATTAATCAAGTTATCTCGATTTAAAAACATACTACACCAAACCATCATACACTCCCTTTTTCTTTTAAGAAAACCACCATATTTTTTCTTTTTTCTTTCTTGGGAAACAATTATATCCTAATATCATACAAGATGCTCCCATGGGTATCAAACATGTGACCTCATGTTCAACAGTCATTCACTAATATACCAATCCTTGTAAGTTCCTCTAGATACACAACTTAAGAAGCCATTTAAGCCCAAATAAGGCCATAACAAAGATACTCCGATGCCCATCAACTGTACAACAAAACCTATAGTTGTCTAAGGATCACATGAATCCATTGTACACCACGGAACCCACATCTCTAAATCTATTTAACTTCGCTTTAAATTCTGGTTAAGCATCATCTTATTTATTAACATCATTTTAATTTGGATAGGCTTAATGCCATATATTCACAATAGCACGACCAATAATTGACAATAATTAAACAATATCAATGTTTTTGTAACAAAGAGGCATCAATTGAATTTGAACACTAATAAATCATGGTTCAGAAAGTGATCATAACATGTTACCCTTCCTGCACGAGTTGATCTATAGAGTTTCTCCAGTTGCTGATGCCTCTGCATTTCAGCCTCATCTATCACCATCACATCTGAACTCTCATAGCCGGTCCCACCAAATTGCTTTATTACAGCCTGAAGTACAGAAAGAAAAAAATCCCTTTGAATTCATATTCTTTGTTATCCTTTCCATATAACAATTATGAAACTTAAGTTGATGATTGAGTTCCAAAAAGTAGACGTCCTTTGCCCAGCTAAATTAAAGGTATAAGAACCTTGTAATGAAGGAGTCATCATTGTTTCAAAATCTTTGAATTTTGACGAGTATAACCAAATAAATAGACTTCAAAACATTTGTGAATTCGGTTCATTTGTTACGCAATGGTTGCATCTTCCCAACATGAAAATGATTTGAGCAATCATCCAATATGCTTACTTTCAGAACCAAAAACAGGGTTCAAAATCATACTGCACTGACAGGTGGACATCAGGAAACATATCAACAGTCTGCATCTAACTCCGCCAACCAAAGAATCATTTCAGATTTGGAATCAGAAAGTTTCCTTCTAAGTTATAAACTGGAAAATTAAGTCCAAAAAACTGCCAAATGATACTGTCGTAACCATTCGGGAAATATGGAAGATCGAAAAGGGAAAATAAAAAATCAGCATCTCACAACAGTTACAAAGAACAACGGACAACTAAATCAATCAAGCTAAAGTTTAGAACAGGATGATAACAATCCTGAAAAGGAAACAGTCCCGCTAAGATAACTCATTGACTTCTACTTTCCAACCCTTTACAGAGAAAAATGACAACAACAATCACATTCATCTTTCTTACCGACGAAACATTGAACCATAAACCAGATTTAGAACTAAACCAATAAGATCAGAAACTGAAACACAAGATAATTCTCAAATCACCTGCTGTTGCTTTGCAACTTGAACCTTGAACTTGCTAGCTTGCTTTCTGAGCGCATCCATGGCGAAATTCCACGGCGTCTGACCGTCTAGGAATCAAGAGCGATTAAAATTAACTGGAAAAACGTCAATAGCTGTGGCAATGATGAGTTCAAAACTCAGTAATTCGTCGCTCGTCAAAGATCTGCGAGCCCTCCACCAGCTAGCTTTGGACCTGGCTCCCTTAAGCTTGATCCTACTGAGCTTTGATCTGCTGGAACCAGTACGTACAATAATAGCGTGTCCCCTCCTCCCTAGCCGTCTGATATATATAAAAGATTCAAAAAGGTAACTATAATTCAATAATTTTCTTTTTTTCTTTTCTTCGTAGCAATAACATGAATGTCCCATTCCTTTTAGGTTACTTTCTCGATCGATCCCACTTGCATGCAATTCAATCGAATCCGATCTATAAGAATAGGTAGAATTTTTTAACACGTCCCAATGTTATGAAGTAATTTTAAGAAGGAAAAGTTAGGTAAATTTTAGTATGGTAATCATGTTTAGATTTGTGTCCTAAAACTCGTTGTAACGACTTAAGCCTACCATAGCAGATATTGTCCGTTTCGGTCTGTTACGTACCGCAGTCAACCTCACGATTAAAAAACGTTTCCTAGAGAGAGGTTTCCACACCCTTATAAGGAACGTTTCCTTCTCATCTCCAATCGATGTAGGATCTCACAATCCATTTGTCATAGCCCAAGTCTACCACTAGATATTGTTCGTTTCAGCTCGTTACGTATTGCCATCAACCTATGATTTTAAAACACATCTCCTAGGAAGAGGTTTCCATACTCTTATAAGAAATGTTTTGTTTCCCTTTTCAACCGTGGAATCTCACACTGGTAGTTTTCATAATTGTATATTTTTTTATTAGTAAAAAATAATTTGTTTTATATCGTGTATAGCGTTACTCAATATTGTGTGAATCTAAGGTTATTATGGTAATCTTGAATAGCATGTAGTTGACATACAAAATGATGACATTCAAATTATAATCTAAAGGATTTATAGTATATAGATAAGGTTACGTGTTTTATATTACTAACGCTATTTATACGAGTCACTTTGCAGTTGTTACAAATGTTTTTATCTAAATCGTTCACGAGGGTGTAAAATCTCACATTAGTTGGAGAGGAAAACGAATCCTTCCTTATAAAGGTCTAAAAACCTCTCCTTAATAGATGTGTTTTATAAATCGTGAGGCTGATAACGATATGCAGCGGACCAAAGCGGACAATATTTGCTAGCAATAGGCTTGAGATATTACAAATGGTATTAGAGCTAGACAACGGACAGTGTGTCAGCGAGGACTTTGAGCCCTCAAGAAGGGTGGATTATGAGATTTCATATCAGTTAAAAATGGAAATAAAGCATTCCTTACAAGGGTATGAAAATCTCTGACCAGTTGATGACAACACGTAAAGAGACAAAGTGGACAATATCTTTTGATTTACATGGGTGAAAATGACTTTTAGAAACTTTTTCCAATTGGGAGGTGAATTCACTCGTTCATATATAGTAAAAGTTAAATCATTGGCACTTGTGAAAAATGCAATTACAAGGATAAAATGAACTTTTGACTCAACTGTATAACTTTTGTTTCATTTCCCTCTCCAACTAATGTGGTCCCAGCATCTTCCCTGGTGTGCCGTGTGCTAGGGACAAAAAGATTATGCAAAATTATCAACAAAAAAAAATGTGCGAGCCTCTCGTAATAATTTTTCATAGGATAGGTTTGTCATAAAATAAAATTATACATAATTAATTGTGCATTATTGTAACTTATAACAATGCTCGTTAGGATATTAATTAAGAAATTGATCTCGATAGTTTTGACATTTTCAAGTGGTTTATACAAGTTGGTTGTACTTGAAAATGATTTCGATGAGATCTCACGTCGGTTAAAAAGAAAAACGAAACGTTTCTTATAAGTGTGTGAAAATCTCTCCCAAGTAAACGCGTTTTAAAATCGTGAGGCTAACAGCGATATGTAACGGGCCAAAACGAACGATATCTATTAACTGTAGGTTTGAGTTGTTGCAAATGTTATCAAAACTATACATCGGATGTGTGCTAGCGAGGACGTTGGGGGCCCACATCAGTTGGACGAAACATTTCTCATAAGGGAGTGACTCTCCCTAGCAGACGTTTTAAGCTCACATCGGTTGAAGAGGAGAACGAAACATTCTTTATGAAGGTGTGAAAACCTCTCCCTAGCACACCGCGCGCCAGCGAGGATGCTGGGCCCACATTGGTTATAAAGGGAACGAAACATTCCTTACAAGTGTTGAATAAAACATTATTTGTAAGAGTGTAGCTCTCCTCATTTTAAGTGAATACAATAAACAGAGAGTTCATTTTGAATTATAGTGACTAAATTAAAAGTTTTCATGTGACTCAATAATTTGGACCAATCCAAATTAAACTCTTGAGTTGGGTTAGATTTTTTCTCTGAAAAATAGGTTTGGTTTGCAGATAGATATTTTTTTGGTTGGGTTACAGCCTAACCCAACTTACTCTTTTTTAAGAGATTTAGAATATTTAATTTTTATAATGGATATTTGATATTTGAATTTTATAAAATTTTAATTATTAATGTAATATGTATTATGTATAAATTTAATTTTTAAAAAATAATTTAAAAAATAAAACGATAAACTAAAAAATAAAGAGTTGAATTAGGGTGGATTGAGTTGTCGGTTTTAAATATGATTTTTCCAAACTAATGTATATACCAAAATTAAAAATAAATAAACTTTATAGGAAATAAATTAAAATTTTACCAATTGTAAACTTTCCAATTATTTATTATTGGAAATTCACCGATTAAAATATGATATTTACAAAATTTAATTTAAACACGAAAATGATATAAATTAACAATTTAATATAAATCTTAATAAAAATAAATTTTTAAAAAAATATAAAAAAATGAATTTTTAAAATTACACATTTTCAACATTTTAAAATTAACGAATCTGTTAAATAATAAAAGAGCGATAAGGCTAAAATGGTAATTTAAGTTGAGGAATTCGCGTGGAAGCGCGTGAGTATAAATAGCGATTTTGTCTTATTTATTTAATTTGAAACACAAAGCCGCGAAGAGGAAGAAGGAATGGAACCAACCAGACCAAACCAACCTCATTTTTTCGCTTTATAAACACACTTTCTTTCCACTAATGGAGTTTTGACGAATCCCCCATTGAAATTCCTCTTCCTTCTTCCTCCCGTTTCCCCTCTCTTACCCTACTTCCACAGGATTCTCTCCATAACTGCAGAGACACGGAGCGAGAATTTTTGTTGCATAGAGCCCACAGGCGGGTTACGTAAAGGATTCAGTCTTGAGTAGAGGCCAATTATGCCGTCGGGTGTGAAGAAGCGAAAAGCAGCCAGGAAAAAGAAGGAACAGGAAGCGAAAATCAATTCATCGAGTAATTGTTCGACAACTATCTATAATTGTTGTTGTTTAGGACTGTTTCCTCTTTTTTTAAAATGATCCTTTGGAATCTATCTACAGTTATCTACCTTACTTCGATCAAGTGTTTATAATTGTCTTTCATCTGCATTTTTTTTTTTTTTTTTGTTCTTGTTCGTTGATTTATCTAGTTTGGATTCATGTTTGTTTCTTGATTTGTTCATCTTGTATTTCTTTGGTTGATCCATTGCGATCGAGTTGCTCTTCATCCGTGAAAAACGGATGATGTGAATTGCGTTTTTCCTTTGATGCTTGTGATTTGGTCAAATGAAGTTTTTTCTATCCCTTAAAACTCATATGTACTTACTTTCTACTTGAACCAAAATCTGTAACCTTATTGATGATTCATCTGGTTTTTGTCAAATTGGCCCGTTAGATATCTATTCTAGACATTGGCTTTTTGTGCTTGGGGGGGATGGATTTACATCGGTTTCTGTATTATTAAGATTGTAGCTTTTAATTGAAAAAAACTTTAGCAGGAGACGAAGATTGTAAAGGTCAGAATGGGAGAAGCTCCGAGAGTTTGGAGGTCAATGCTACTTATGATCATTACAAGTGTTACGATCAGGTTGATGGGAACAATGAGAAATTGGTGAAGAATGATTCGAATGCATCACCTGTTTTGTCTGCTGTGGATGAAGACAAATCTTTGGACGTAGAAGGAATTAAAGGAAACAAAGGAACTATCCATGAGTTGGGATTTGATGGCAATGGTGCTATTGAAGTTGAGAAGGAATTTACTTCAGCGGAGAATAATGCTCGTCAATGCATCAGCAGCGAGTACATTGAAGCTGGGAAGAAATTTGATGAATGGGATGATAAGAACTCAAGTAGCAGTTCAGCTGAGGAGTGTAATATTGATGATAAGAAAACTGAAGCCTATGCTTCATCTTATACAGAAAATCTTCGCGATGATATACCACGTAAATCTTCGTCCAAAACCATTGGGATAAATGAATCTGCATCAGTTGGGGAGTGCATCAACTCATTGGTTGAAACTCTGGTTGCTGATTCAGTTAAATCTAAGGTTCCTGTATCTACAGAGAAAATTTGCTACACAAAAGTTGAAGCTGGTGAGAATCTAGTGGTTTCTGATACTGTGACATCTGGGTTGAAGGAAGATGCAAATACTTTGTTGTCCAACCAATGCGCTGGAACTCGAGTTTCATCATTTACTAATCTTAATTCAGTACCAAAAGAAAATAAGGACAAAGTTTTAGCTGTAACAATGGAGAATGATCAGATGTCTTCAAGTATGATGAAACAAGGGTCCAGATATCTGGAAGGCAAGACACGTTTTCCATCAGATTCTCCTGCATTTGGAGCTAGTAAAGACGATGCTGTTACTAAGGATTCTGAGATTCCATTGTGCTCTAAAAACAAGGTATGGCTAAGTTATTTTATCAGTTGTGCTTTGTGTCGAGTCCGAATAAAATGTATGTAACTATGCTTCGTCATTTGTGTAGACCTTGGCTTCAGCACCAATAATGGCCCAAAGGACTTCTATATTCAGTTGTTGTGGATTGTTTGATTTGCTGAAAGGCATCAATTGATGAATTCAGGTTTGTTCTTTTGAAGAATTACTTATCTGTAATGTAACAACTGCATGTGATGTGTCGAAACTGCCAGCATTTATTTACCAATGCTTGCATTAATGTTACTGTTTCATTACAGATGTTTCTGAGTTCATGTGGCTGAGTTTCATTCCTTCTCTTTAGAGTTATTTTGATAGGAATTTTTGTAATTTTAATAGCTTCTCATGAGTACCAACTAGATAGCTTTTTGGCTAATTGCTCTGTCTTTAGGGGCCAAGAGATTCTTTATTCCCCTTTATATGAAACGAAGTTTTGTTCCTATGCAAAGTTCATCGATAATTTATCTCTCGACATGTTTGTTTGCTTTTGAATCTTTCTGCATCTTACGGTGTTGTGGCCTTAATATGTCAATATCATTTTGAGGCTGACAGAAAGCTTGAATGGCCGACCATTTTATTTTCATCATTTTCTATTCATAGTTGCCCGTTATTATCTTGTCTAGTCTTTTAAACCAACTACCTGATAGATTTCTTTAAGGCATATCACTGTATCATAACATTTTCCCAAGTGGCACTGGGGTTGGGTTGGTTACCAAAGAACTTCAGAGATGAAGAGAAATTTCATAGATATCTGTCCAAACAATAATACACTTACATATACAAAGGAACGTGTTTAAATTAAGAAAATAAACCAATTTCAATTAGCAGCAGGATCAAATGATCGTTGAAAGATTTGTGGAGAAATCGCTGTAGCCGATTTCACAGTCAAATGGTCTTGATTGACAGCATTGATTGTCAATGTTTGGTGCTTTATCAGTTACATTTCCCATCGGGGATGCTCTCTTTCTGTAATATAGAATCGTTTTGTTTACTCATTTAATGTCACTTTATAAGCTTTTTATATTGTTGTGCCAATATTTAATTTTTTGATACTGTAAGCTGAAACTGACATTATTTTAAACCTTTAATATAGAAGCAGACAGCCAGGGAGAGTTCCAGTGCACTGATGAAATTCATCTAAGAAGCAAGCCTTTTGATAAGTTTGAAACTTCTGGTATATCTCTAAACATTTATAGTTGTGATGTGATGCTCGACTTCCTAAGCTAAGATCTATGTCAATGGCAATTTCATCATTACCAGGCCGCTTAGCTTACTATATTTTCTCTATATTACTTGTATGATCATGTAAACTAGTTCAGTTTACTTTACTTTCAGTATGAAGGATGCGTATATAGACGAGTTAAAAAAACTCGCATTTGTTTTGTCTGTCAGTTGGCATCCACCACTACACTGATGCTTTATCTCAGCATTATAGTTGTTTATTTTCAAGCTCCATGAGCTATCATGATCTGCTGGCTTTGTGATGAATGTGTTTGGTCTTCAATGGATATTCTCATTGTAAATAAGGAAAACTGTAATATTTTAGCTTCTCGACAACTGGTAGTCCAAAAGATTCCCTCAACTCTCCACACTTCAATCCCCTCCATCTTGGCCCCTCCTACTTATCCTTCCTAACTATCCTCACTATACCGAATCCGTACCAACTAAATTTTAGGCCCCGTAAATCATGTAACGGTCATTTCCATCTCCATCCCACCTGCTGCAACTCTGCCATCATCCTTCCTTTCCATTTCAAGTACATTTTGTACTTAAAGGCCTATCAAACTTGTTGCCTTTTAGATCGTATCCTATCCTCAAACTGAAAAGAAAGGAATAGATTAGCTATAGCTATTGTAAAGGCCTAAGCACACCACTAGTCGATATTGTCCTCTTTGGGTTTTTCCTTTTAAGCTTCCCCTCAAGGTTTTTAAAATGCATCTGCTAGGGAGAAGTTTCTATCCGATGTGGAATCTCACAACTATGGTTCTTGTTTGTCTTAGTCAACACAATTGGTACTCAGACGTGTGTTTCAATAAGCAAGGATGAAGATATGGCTACAGATATATTGGTCTGAAGATTCTGATAAAGATTACTTGTGAGATCCCACATTGGTTGGGAAGGAGAACGAAACATTCTTATAAGGGTGTGGAAACCTCTACCTAGCAGATGCGTTTTAAAAATCTTGAGGGGAAGCCCAAAAGAAAAAGTCCAAAAAAGACAATATTTGCTAGCGGTGGACTTGGGCTGTTACATTACCAAACTTAAGCGATAATAATTGATTCTGCTTTGTATTCTCCTTGAGAATATCCACATTACACCTTTCATTTTAGGTGGATGAAATCTGAATCCTTAAACCTTTAGTTTTAGGCTATGTCTTAACCAGTAGAGCGATATTCAGGTTGGCATTTGATGGTAGAATCTATTTTCACCGAAAATGTTGTTAGATTATCATAACCTTTGATCGGTTTCTTGTGTTCTTTATCCATCCTACAAACAAAAAGTGTGTGAGAGGGAGACTGAAGCTTTTAAATCAAACATCAAACCAAGTTTATTGTCAACATTTATACAAATAAAATCACCACAACAAACCACAATAAGAATAATCTTCTAAACTAAGCTCCTTGCATGTTTGCAAGGTTTTGCAGAGATGGTTAATTACAACAAAAGAAAACAACACCAAAGACAATTGAAAATGGGCAATGAATCAAACAAATGTTAAAGCATTCAGCTCTCATCTTGTGGTCACAGCCCCATGGATGGCCATAATGTAAACAAGCTGTGTAGCTGAGAGAATCATGAAGAAGGCTTCCATTGTTACCTGCAAAAAATTAAAACACAAACAAAATCTTGTCGTATCAATATAGTTTGAATTGGAACTGTTTTAGATTAGATTTGTGATGATAAATTGCAGCTGGGAAAAGAAATCTTTATTTTCCTCACCAGTCTTGAGTTTCTGAGATCCAGTTGAATCTCTTTCCAAGCAAAGCTGCATAAATAACAAAGCCTCAGAGTCCAGTCAAAACTTTCAAAGCAAGTTATGCTCCTCCTTTTTTATTTTCCTTTTCATGTTATAACAAAAAAAAAAAAAAAAAAAAAAAAAAAAAGAAAACACGTATGAAAAACTTTGTCGAGATTCTAAAATGGGTCATCGTTAACTTAACATACTAAGACACATTCTCGAACATGAAGTCATTAGTTTGAATCCTATCCTCTCACATGTTGAACTAAAAAAGACTAAATTTTAATACATGGACCGTTACGAGAACGATGCGAACTTTTTAGTAAAACTTAAAACCTGAAAAAGATGGATTATTTTGTGAAAGAATTTTCGGGCCTTTTAAAAGCAGGACTTGTGCTTGTGGAAATTATCGGGTAATCGGAGATAAAAAAGAAGATTCAAAATTTTGTGAACAATGCTGAGTCCGGTTTGTTGATTCTCGGATACGGAGATATCAAATGGGCTAATATTAAACTGACATACCCAGTAACCCATGTGTAGTATTTGAAACGTCTTCCTAGGTATATTGCGGATCTTTTAGATAAACCTCTTAAAGAATTAGATGGGAATGCATACCCCATGGCAAGGAGAGTGAGAGTCCATGCAAAAACAGCAGCAGAGGATGCAGCACCGAAGCTTTCAGCACTCCATGACCGAATATGGTTAAGTCCTGAGATTGCTGAGGCAGCTCCAAACACAGCAGCCAATAAAGCAAATATCACAAAGAAACCAGTGGCTGCATTCCCTATGGGGAAGTAAATTGGTGAAAAATGTGCTGGAAGTTTAAGCCCAGGACCTGCAAAATTCTCACCCATCAGCAAGCTGCAACATAGAAACATGTTCAAAATGAACCAAAAACAAAAAATGACAACATGACATGGATATAGTGTAACAGCTTGAGCCCACCACTAGCAGATATTGTCCTCTTTGGGCTTTCCCTTTCGGATTTCCCTTCAAAGTTTTTAAAACGTGTCTGTTAGGCAGAAGTTTTCACACCCTTATAAGGAATGCTTCATTTCTCTTTCCAACCTATATGGGATCTCACAATCCACCCCCCTTGGGAGCCAGAATCCTCGCTGGCACATCGCTCGACACCAAGCTTTGATAACATTTATAACAGCCCAAGCCCACCGCTAGCAGATATTGTCTTCTTTGGGCTTTCCCTTTCGGACTTCCCCTCAAGGTTTCTAAAACGCGTTTGTTAGGAAGAGGTTTCCACACCCTTATAAAGAATGTTTCGTTCTCCTCCCCAACCGATGTGGGATCTCACACATAGTGTCAAAGTTCATATCACTTTTCAATTTCCATCCGTGATATGATCATAGTACCGAAGTTTTCATCTCGATAATCCGTTGGAGACATTCAAAATATGGAACTAGATAAAACAAGCAAAGGAGATTAATCAAGAACTTGGATAGTACCAATGATGAAGCCATGATCAATTGCTCTGTTCATGGCCCACCCTCCAATGCCCAAAATAATAACATACATGCAGAAGTTAAGCAACAGAAGCAGAGTGGCAATGTACTTCATCTGTGAATTAGCCATTTGAGCAGTGAAATCAGAAAGAAAAAGCTGAGTGAAAGAGGAAGAACAGAACAAAAAGACCCAAAACTTGTAATGTAATGTGGAAGTAAGGAGGCAGAGATGGGTTTATAAATGGGGGTGAAAAGGAAGGCTCAAGTTCTTTACTTGCAAAGGCTGCTGTGTTCAAAGGGGTCTTTGGAGTTGTAAAGTGTTAGGATAATGCTTCATGTTCAAGGCAAAAGAAGGATATGGGAATACTTTCTTTGCCAACATTTGTAAGTCTTCTCTTTTGAAATGGTACATTCTGCTGCTGCACAAGCTAAGAAAGTGATATTCTTTGCCTTAGGGGATAAAATGGCTGTGCTTACCTTTATAACTGAAAGGCAATATTCATATCCAGACTAAAAATTTAGTTTCGAATCTGGAATTTGATTGAAGAATGTTCGAGAAAAGTTCTAAAACCAAGAAATGTGAATGTGTGGGAGGAAGTTCGTCTTTTGAAGTGATATACTACAATCATTTATTCGAGTTCATTGTTGTCAAATTTTTTAAGAAGTATTTTACTCAAAGAAAGGTGAGAAATGTATATGTGTGGGATGAAGTTCGTCTTTTGAAGAGATAGACTACGTTCATTTATTCGAGTTCATCGTGGTCAAACTTTCGAGGTCTAAGAAAAGTACTAACGTTAGGGGTAATAGGGCTGAGGGCTGAAATTCCCTTAACTTTCAAAGATTTATATATGCTAAACACCATTACAAGTGAGCGAAAGGCTATATAGCTTAGTGGCATAAGCCCCCTTCGGCCATCCTTTTGGTGTATGCGAATTTCTTTTTCTTCAAACAAGTTATGTTTGCCGATGCGCCTTACTGCAATGTGTGATGGTTAGTTTTGAGGGAACTCAAATTCTATTTCACTTTTTCGTTGCGCTAGTAGGTGGAAACTAAGCTTTGTTTCGGGCATTATGCATCATTAATGATGCATGTACATGTATTTTCACCCGATTATAACTTTAGTTAACCTTGCCTCTACACTAGGCTAAGGATCTTCAAAGTCTCGTTATCTTGGTACTCAACAACACGGCCTACAAACTTTAAAACATTGATTCGAAATTTTCGTGTTTGGACCCTTCGTTGGATCAAAACAACTTTAAAACATTCAAAAGGAGCTTATTGGAAGGCATTACAATGACAAGTCTAACCAAAAACTCAAGTCTAACGGATGCTTCGTGATGCCATACCATGACTCGGGATGTCTTAGCCTTCGCTACTTGTTTGGGCATGTTTATAAAAAATCAAGTCATATTTTACGATCAAAACATCTTAAATATGCATCAAAATTTGAATACTATCGAAGAATGAACCCTCCATGTACGTTGAAGATGGCACAATGGGCACCATTGACATTCTTTATAATCTTGTTAATATCAATAACGACTAAAGGGCTAACAATGTCGACCCACCCACTTTTATCTTGTTATACATTAGCATAATCGGAGTAGTACATGGCGCAATGGGCACCATTGACATGCACACTAAAATGTTCAATAGATTAGGACACAAAACAGAAGAAATGATGCCAAAGGAAACGTCCGGTAAAAAAACAAAATGAAACGGAGAACCAAAAAGCTCATGAAGATAAACGCCATGACTTGGAAGTCCTTAAAATGTATTGTCAAAGAGATGGTTGTGAATTCATAACTCATTAATGTCAAAATCTCATAAATCCAACAAAAATTGTATATATTAACGAAATCTCACTACAAAACATGATGAAAAGTGGATCTAAATGGTTCATTCATCCTCTTGGCTGCGCAACCTAGCAAGCTTGTTGGTAACTACCACATCTAGCTGAGCTGCCCTCTCAACAATCTCTTTCCTCTTCCTTGTGGAAACGTCATGGGCGATTTCGGCACAGTAAGTCCTGCAGTAACAATACAAACGGATAAGACAATGCATTAATCATTCCTTTATAATTGCTAATGATGTATGAGAGAGGTCGTCACAAACCTGTTGTGCATCATCAGAACTTCAAGCTCCTTGACATTGTGAACAACGAACTTCTTGAACCCATTAGGGAGGTAGTGTCGGGTCTTTTTGTCAGTCCCGTAGCCAATGTTTGGCATGAGAGTACATCCCTTGAACTTTCTCCTTACTCTGGAATCAATACCCTTTGGCCTTCTCCAGTTTTCCTGTCAGATAAAATTATAAATAAGTGAACAAAAGCCAGAAGATATTGTCTAACGAAGATTAATGGAGATTAAAAATAAATAATATATCTGTATGCAGGGTTTTAGTAACAGAGAGCTTATAAGTTTTTAAGCTAACCGTGTCGCAAGACCTGTATATAGTTATTATATGCCCTAAAAAACGAAATGTCCAGCTATTAAATAGAGACCGGACATTAGATACCACGGGCAATTTCAGTTTATAGCAAAAGAAAACTGTAAATGACTCTAGAACTATGAAAGTATAGTTTTTAATGCAACCTCAGCCGAAAGATGGTGATAACTGTTATTAATCACAGAAAATCAGTAACTTGGGATTGTTTGCATCACAGATTGCAGCAAGACACTATTGAGTAAAGAGTTAACATGCAAATAAAAGTTAAAATTTAAAGTGCAATAAACTAGTATGTCAGGTGGAAAAGCCACAATTACAGAAATGATGATAATTATTTTAACTTCAAAAATACTTTTTAACTGCAACCTCAGCCGAAAGATGGTGATAGGTGTAAATAATCACAGAAAATCAGTAATTTGGGTAGTTTGCATCATGGATTGCAGCAGAAAATCAAAATGTAAAGAGATAACAAACGAATATTAGAAAAAAATGGCGTAAAACTAACATCGAATTTAATATACAACATAGATCAGATGGTAGTGCATGAAAATATTCATCATTCAATTACAGAAATGATGGGTTATCATCATCACGCCGTGTTGTATACTCGAGAAAAAATATGCTTACAAACTAAAAAGAAAACACGAGATGCCCGTGGCCAGATAAAACATGATTTCATACTGTACTACGATAACAAAAAACAGTTCCAAAACATCACCATCTTCCGCTAATAAACGGTGAGACAGGACATAAGCAAATTACTAATGGTTTCAAAAAACAAAACACAACAAATTCCATATTCGACTTCAAAGCTGATTTAAAAGCTATGTCATAGTAAGCATCAGATAGTCTATCTGTGAATCACCATAATGTATACGAGGACACTAGTCGGGTCTGGGGTGAATTAAATCATCACATCCTTCTAACGTTGTTAAGCTTAATCAAATATGTGAAAAATGCAAAAACACAACCTAACTATCATATCTTCTAAATTTAAATCAAAGCAAATGAGAAATTAACAATAACAAGAATCAGATACTGCGTCAATCACCATCTTGCACCCATTGGTACAAGTCAGACTGGGGCGACAATACATCTCATCATCTTCCATACAGAGCATAATAACATATAAACAGAAATTAAATGAAAATACCAATAGCAAACTAAGATACCTTAACGGAGATCTTACGATCACTCTGTGGCCTCTTAAACTTGGTGGTCCTCTTCTTCACGATTTTCTTCGTCAGCAAAGGAACCGCCATTTTCACTTATATTCACAGATTTCATAACAAGTACGATTATTAATCATCTCAAAGGTATCACATCCTAGAAAACTTTAAATCAATCCTAAACGAATAAAAAAAAAACAACAAATTGTGGGCACGCTAGGTGAAAGGAGAATTAACCAAAACGATTGAGAAAGTTAGCGGCAACACAACGAAATCTCAACACAAAGACAGTGAAACAAATTTGAAATACGAGAGAGTAAGCCAATAAACCCTAGCGGCGGATCAAAGAGAAGAACTTACAGAACTAGGGTTTCCCTAGGCCGTCCAGCTTATATGATAAGCTCCAAGGGTCTGAAAGGTATATATAGAGAATGCGCGTTCGATTAGGGTTTGTTTCTTCTGGTTTGAAGAGCTTGGGCCATGTTTGGCAACTAGATTTTGTATCTCAAGCCCATGGGCTCTGATATAGGCCCATTACATTAGTAAATAGATTCCACTTAATTTTCTTAACAAGTATAGCATTCCTCTCTTCCATCAATGTGAAATCTCACCATCAGTGTCCTCGTTGTCACAACGTCGGGTGTCCATCCCCTTCATTTGTAAGGGAGATATTTCTAACCCCTTATAAAGAATGTTTCGTTCCTCTCTCCAATCAAATTTGGAATCTCACAATACACAATACACCATTTCGGGACCTAGCGTCCTCGTTGGCACACCGTCTGGTGTCCATCCCCTTCGTTTGCTCGGAGATATTTCTAGCCCCTTATAAAGAATATTTCGTTCCTCTCTCCAATCAATGTGGGGATCTCACAATACATCATTTTGGGACCCAATGTCCTCGTCTCACAATACACAATACACCATTTCGGGACCTAGCGTCCTCGTTGGCACACCGTCTGGTGTCCATTCCCTTCGTTTGCTCGGAGATATTTCTAGCCCCTTATAAAGAATATTTCGTTCCTCTCTCCAATCAATGTGGGGATCTCACAATACACCATTTTGGGACCCAATGTCCTCGTCAGCACACGTCTGGTGTCCATCCCCTTCAAGGCTCAACGTCCTTGCTAATACACTGTCCAATGTCTGGCTTGATATTCTTATAAAAAATGTTTCATTCATCTCTCTAATCAATGTGGGGATCTCACAATACACCCTTTTGGGACCTAGCGTCCTTGCTGACACACCGTCTAATGTCCATCCCGTTCGAGGCTCAATGTCCTCGCTAGTACACCGCCTGGTGTTTAGCTCAATACCATTTATAACAGCTCAAGCCTACTGTTAGCACATATAGTCCTCTTTGGGCTTCTCCCCTCAAGGTTTTCAAAACGGAAAAATTTTCACACCCTAATAGTTGAAAAATAGCTAACAATAAACCAAGACTTCAAAAGAAAATCTTCAGCACCAAAAAATACCAACATCAACATTTCGAGCATTCTTCAAGAAAAAAAAAAGTACATATGCTAGTAGGAGATGAAAAGTAAATATTTTTTCAAACGTTCGAACTCTAAACTTTCATCTCTGAACTTCCAAACTTATTTTCTCGAGCTTTTAAACTCCAAACTTACAAACTTATTTTATTTTGATCCCGAAATTATGTATGAATTTTTAGAAACGTAACTATCTTGGTTACTCAGACCGACATTGGTTCGGTCCTTTTTGTGTCACAATAATCACAGAGCTAAAATATTACAATGTATGGTATTCATGTCCAAAACAGACAAAAACAAAACCCTATTTCATAATTGATGAAACATGCACCAGCAGCGGCAACCTCAAATACAGACTGAGCTACACAACCTATAACATCCAGACTTGTCATTTACAAACCTTACATACAATTTCACGTCGAATTCGACCATGAACATTATCAAGGGACCCTCGGCATTGCAACGGGCGAGCAACCGAAAAATGGACTCATTATATGCTTTCACGTATCCGGTGACATGTTATGTGTTGGGGCTCGGCGTTGTCCAGACTTGGAATCTGTGCATCTTCCATAACAATGTTCCTGATATGAGTTGTAGAAGCGTGCATCCACCTGAAAATAGAAGCTCATGTCCCTTGGCTTGTAGTAGCTTCCATCGACCCTCTCGAGTGCCTTAATTTGAGCTCGAGATCGATGAGGAAGTAGCATTTAGTTTGCTCTCTAACGTAGCGTATGTTACCACTCAACTTATTGAGAAGTCTACGTGACAGGTTTAGAGCAAGGCCTTGCTTTGAAGTCCATTGCTGGCCTCCTCCAACCATATCTTGGATTAGTTCAGGAGGCAGACCTTGACCTGGATGAGACATTCTACATACAAGAAAACCAAAACAAATAATTGTCCCAATAGTTCGTTGTAGCAAGATGGGTTAAAGAAGTGAGCAGTACAAACAATTCAATCATCATATGATCAAACAGAGAACATACATGGAAAACCTAGGCTGAATGTTTTGTGTTTTTCAATTGAAGTTTCATTGAAATAATGGGATTAGACTTAAAAGCTTAGAGTTTACCATGATTTGTCTCTAATCTTTGTATGGTAGAATTAATCCTACGGTTTAGTGACTACTAGAAATCAAAAGTCATGTAGAAAATAAATAACGAGTTGGTATGTAACAGCCTAAGCACACCGCTAATAGATATTTGTCTGTATTGGCCTATTACGTATCACCATTAGTCTCAAGGTTTTAAAACACGTCTGTTAGGGAGAAGTTTCCACACCCTTACAAGGCATGCTTCATTCTTCTCACCACCCGATGTGAGATTTCACAACCACCCTCATTGGGGACCCGACATCCTTGCTAGCACACTACTCAGTGTCTGACTATGATACCATCTGTAACAGCCCAAGCTCAGTGCTAACAGATATTGTCCACTTTGGCCCGTTACTAATCACTGTCAGCCTCATGGTTTTAAAACGCATATGCTAGGGAGAGTTTTCCACACCCTTATAATGAATGTTTCATTCTCCTCTCTAATCGATATGGGATCTCACAATCCACCCCCCATTGGGGGCCCAACGTCCTCGCTAGCACACCGTCCAGTGTCTGGCTCTGATACCATTTGTAATAGCCAAAGCCGACCACTAACAGATTTGTCCACTTTAGCTCGTTACGTATCGTTATCAACCTCACGGTTTTAAAACGCGTCTGCTAGGGAGAGGTTTTCACCCTCTCTCCAACCAATGTAGGGTCTCACAATCCATCCCCCTTGGGTCCTAGCGTCCTCGTTGGCACACCGCTCGATGTTTGGCTCTAATACCATTTATAACGGTCCAAAATCACCACTAATAGATATTGTCCGCTTTGGCTCGTTACATATCGTCGTCAGCCTCACGATTTTAAAACTCGTCTGCTAGGGAGAGGTTTCCACACCCTTATAAGGAATACTTCATTCCCCTCTCCAACCGATGTGGGATCTCACATTATAGATTCATGTGGCTACAGTGCAAAACTCAGTTTGACCTTAGCAGTAACAAGTTTTTTCGGTGTACAGACTAAATCAAAGAATACTAAGTTTAGAGACTAAACTGCTAAGGTAGTGAAAGTAAAAGTGAGTACCTGATCTGCAAGTGAATATGTTCATTTCCATCTTGTATAAGCTTCAAACCAGCTGAAATTTTGATTTCAACCCAACCATCCGGAACAGGCGCGTACTGCACGACATTAAACAAGAAATCTGACAAAACCAACTGAAGCTTAATATGATCGCCACAAAGATTTAACACTTTGATTTCTTCTGGAATCTCATGAAAAAGTTGTATGTTCTTCTCTCTGACAACAGTCATGATTTGACAGATAATGGCGTCCAGCACACTCCCAAGGAGAAATTCTTCTCTGTTTATCTCTACTTGGCTGTTAAATGAGGCGAAATATCAGAGGTAGAACAAAATTTAGCAGACAATAGAAGACATAAAGGCATGACTATATGACAATTCGGGTTCAATAAAAGCTAAGGTATCGGTTACTTTTCATGTTTTCTAGAGGAGAAGAAACTGTGGGATATCTGGGGAAGAATTATATTTGTAACGGCCTAAGCCCACTGCTAATAGATATTGTTCTCTTTGGGTTTTCACTTTCAAACTTTCCCTCAAGGTTTTTAAAACGTGTCTACTAGGGAGAGGTTTCCACACTCTTATAAAGAATGCTTCGTTCCCCTCTCCAACCAATGTGGGATCTCACAAGCTACTCCCTTTGGGCCTAGCATCTTCGTTGTCACTCGTTCCTCTCTCTAATTGATATGGGATCTCACAATTTACCCCCCTTCGAGGCTCAGCGTCCTCGCTGGCATACTGCCTGGTGTCTAGCTCTGATACCATCTATAACAGTCTAAGCCAACCGCTAGCAGATATTGTCCTCTTTGGGCTTCCTCTCAAAGTTTTAAAACGCGTTTACCAGGAAGAGATTTCTACACCCTCATAAGGAATGTTTCGTTCTCCTCTCCAACTGATGAAAACAATATGAGAGGAAAATATACTCTAATCCTCAGCTGGAATGAAGAAATTTGCTTGTTGCTCTAGCTAGGAACGGCCTAGCGACATAAACAGATGTGTTCATTTACCTTGTCTTGAAGTCGATTAAAACAACTGTTGCACAATATTAAATGCTACTTTTTTCGATAAATAAGATCATATTAACGAGGCTAACAATGCATTATTTTCCCTAAACAATGTGTTCCAGTGGTTATACTTATTCATACACGCCCTAAATGTTCACTTAGCCCTCAAGTTTTAACTTTTCTCTTCTCCAATCGTCCCTCGACACTTACTTCGGTGGATGCTTCATTTCTTTATGCAGGCACATTGGGTTTAATAAAGTGATAGTTAAACAACTTGCAAATTCAGAAGTTTATGGCACAGTTGATAAACCAAAAAAAACCGTAAAATCACCAGCAGTAGAGAAAAAGATATGAATCTGAAGATATAGTGGACGTTTTCGATGTTACTTACCCTCCTTCTAAACTTCTGAAGTCCATATCCTCTATGATCGTCATGATTTGTCTCTCGCATGCGCCACTGGTATCAAGAAAGAGCTTCTGATTTTCTGTAATGCCTGAATTTACAAGAAGTTCATGAGTAAATCTAATGCCATTTAAAGGATTTTTCATCTCCTGCTTTATGTAAGTCAACTCCTTAAGCTGCAAATTTCCCTCTCTGTCGCCCACTCCAAGTCCTTCAGAGACCCCATGCAAGTTGGGCTGAACAATTTGCAGGAAGCAGATACAACCAATGATGTTACCTTCTGCATCAGTTCTTTTGTTTGATGTTAAAAGAACCTCCTCATAGTTCCCATCCTTATTGAAAAATCCTAACGGAAACTTCTCGGTTTCTTGACCGTCAATACCTTGATATAAAAGGATCATAAAACTAGTGAGCGTATCTAGACCTTTCAACCTACAA